CCACCCTGCCCCGCCTCGCCTTGCACCGAGACCCTCCGCACAGAATGAGGTGCGTTTTGTTCTCGCGGTCGACGTCAGCAAACGAGGCTCACTCTACATTGGACCAGGGAAACGTCTTTGTGTCTCACGTTAAAGCTGAGCCCTCTCATTACCAGGTACTGGTCACATCCAGAAAGTACGTTTCGCCTTCACGAAAATCCCAAGTTCAGCCCATGCAAGCTCTCATGGCAACTGATAGGTAGGCAAAATCTTACCTGCCGTGCATGCATGTGCTGCGGGGTGGCCTACCCCGAGTCTCGCAGGCGCTGAGCTCCCATTTTACCGGATAAATCTGAGAAAACTCGGACGCTCTTTCTGGACGAACCCTTATCCCTTCGCCTTGCGCACGCTGAAAATGTGCCCGGAAGCTGGTCGTGGTAGACCCCTGTGTTAAATTCTATGCGAGCTGCTTTGTTTTACCTGACTGTTTGGTGGAAACCGGGACGTTTGTTCTTAGCGTGCGGCAGCCGACACGCGACGGTACATCAAGACCACCGATGAGGTGTTGAACGGTTTTCATGTGGGTCGTCTTCTCTGTTGCAGGGTGCCGTGCGACGTGGACCGCTTGTGTGGCGCTCGAGAACATGACGAACCTGCGTGGGGGCCCCGCACTCGCCAGGTAAGTGAAGGCGGTGTTCCTCGCGGTGGTCCGCGCGCCGTCGGGCGTTTTGAATCTTTTTCTCCTTTCTTTCACACCGCACCTCGCCACACTACGGTGTGCCGGGCCAAGGGGAAGAGACCATGAGGGGGGGGGGGGGGGAGACTGATTTGGAGTATATTGCTCCCCGGGCGACGCAGCTTAAGCCCCCCACAAACGGTTTTAGATTGCGGGTGGGAGGGGGAGCTGGGTGGGGGTTTGGGGGTGCTCATCTTGGCGTGCTGCGGCGCCCTTCAATCCTGCCCTTACACCCCGTCCCCTCTCACCACCACAACCGCCGCCACCACCACCACACCTTTTCCACTCCCCGTCCCATTTTGGACACAACTTTTGGCGCGCTCCTGGAACTTCCCTCTCCCTGCGCGGCGCACGCCAGTAGGTGAGGAGAGTGCGGGAGGAAAGGGAGAGGACTAACAGGTAAACTTCGCCGAGCACACCTCGCCCCCTCCCAGTTTAATTATTGGCAGGGTTGTGCTTCCTTGGCGTTGCGGTACGTTAGGTGCTCGCCAGGGCGGCGTGCCGGCGCCTCTGCCTTTTCTACCTCTTGAGACTTTGCGGCTTGTCGAAAAAGCGATTTTTTTAAATTATTTTTTTTTTTTGCGTTTTCTTTTGACGCCTTAAGCGACACGACCGCGACGGCGGAGGAACATACTAGCGAGACCAAGCCTCACATCCAGTCACTGTCGCCTTCTCGAATTTGCTCGTTTTTGGCCTCGCGCTTCACCGGACGGCGTTAACACATCTTCGCGCCACTTAATTGAGAGCGCGCAGCTTGCACGCAGCCGCTGTGCGTCTCGCCGCAGCCCGCCGCAGCCCAACTTCCCGCGCCGCGAAGCGAAGGCGATACGAGGCGCCCTAAATTATCCCGGCGTGGCGGCTGCGTTAGCAGTCATTTGCTTTGGGACGCACGGCGCTGTGGGGCGCGGCGGCGGCGGCGGCGGCGCCGTTTGTTGTGTCACAACTCCTTCCTCCTCGCCGTGGGCGCGCGGCGCGCGCACGTTCAACTTTGCCCTCCCCGTGGGCGGCGCGCGTCCTGGCGCTGTCCTTGGTGGTGCCGAGCAGAGCGCATGACAACTTGATCACGGCAGTGCGGGGCGGTGTCGATAGTTCACTGCTCGCGCACCGGTTGCCCGCGGACGCGCGCTTCTAACGACCCCCCC